CTGATAAGAAAAATTGCTCGCTAGCATATAATAAAAGTTATCGGAATTTGCCTCAAATTGGCAGGTGATCGCGATATGTCATTTACTGCATCTGATTGTTCGCCTTTGCCCCAAGATGGCAGTTAGCATATGTCAGTGTGTGTTGCTTGTACCAAAAGAAATTATCAAAATTTTATTTGTTGTATTTTACATAAAAATTTGAAATGTACTGAAAATTCAAACTTATATTTCAATATTGGCAATCGAGATTTTGCCCAAAAATGGCAGTGGCGGTTTGGTATTCAGAAAACTGTCAGAACTTAATTATTGTAGTTTTTAGATGAAAATATAGGGTGATTGTATAACAAATTCTTGAAAATAACGAGCGTTCAAATAAAAACGTGGTCGAAGTTGGCTCTGACACATTGGACGTAGGGAGTAGCTTATAGCGACCAACTTAACCTCATTTCTCAACGAGCTGTATAGCAGCTGTCAGTTTCAATAACGTTAATGACTATATAACTTTATTTTAAAGAATAATCGTGATAACAATAACAAACAATTAAAGGAGCTGCGGAAAGTGTCCCCCTCCTTGTTATAACAATAAATTAAAGCAGCTGCTGAAAGTGTCCCCCTCCTTGTTCCAAGCACTTTTCACACCTGTTCCTCAAAGAATTAAAGACATTTTCTAAGATGCTCGGGGTATTGTTAATTTCACGAATCTTGTCTATAAGTCGAGCCTGCAGATGGTTTAAATCAGGAATAGGCAGTTCAAAAATAGTGTTTTTAAGGTAAGGCCACAAAAAGAAATCACACGGCGTAATATCACATGACCTCGGTGGAAATTCATGTTCAGCATTGAGACTTATTAGTCGATTTTGGAAAACTTCCCTCAACATATTCATCGTCTCGCCTGCCGTATGTGCCCTTGCGCCATCTTGTTGAAAGTAAAAGTTTGTAATTTCGTTTTCTTCCAGCTGGTTAACAAAAGGAGCGATAATTTCTTCTCTATACCTTTGCGCAGTAAGAGTACCATTAAAAAAAATAGGTCCATAAATCCTCCTTCGATTGAGAGCACACCAAACTCCAATTTTTTGAGCGTGTAGAGGGCCCTCGACAAAAAAGTTATCTGGTTTTTCAGAAGACCACATTCTCATATTCTGTGAGTTTACGTAACCACTTAAATGAAACCAGGCTTCATCAGAAAAAAAGGTGATATTATGAAGTTCACCGTAGTTGTTTAAAAACCATTCACAAAATACAGCCCGTCGCGGAAAATCAACTTCATGAAGTTCTTGCTGACAAGTTAAACGATAGGAGAACAAACGCAAATCTTTTTTTAACACTGTGTGGTAGGTACCAACTGATACTCCCACCATTTGTGATAAAACACGTACAGAAGTTCTTGGCGCATTTTCCATTATTTGTTGGACATTTTCTTTTAAATCGTCAGTCCGCTTTTTAGGTCGGCCGCTTCCTTCTTTTCTTGTTACACTGCCCGTTTCACAAAAAACATTAACACAACGCTGAACTGCACTTTGAAAAATTTTGTACTCAACAACGCCGGGAAATTGATTTTGAAATTCTATGAAACATTCCTCAATAGAATACTTCCATATTCCATCAATCTTGCGTCCATTTCTAAAGTAGGACTCTATGATAAACACTTTTTGTTCTTGAGAAAACACCATTTTAAACGCTTTTTAAAACGAAAATATTCAAATTGATGGCGGCGATATAGCGCTTTGACAGATGACGTTTAAGTTCATTTGCTATCCGCTACGCCCTGCGTCCAAATTTTCAGAACCAACTTGACCACGTTTTTATTTGAACGCTCGTTATATGAAAATGTAATTATTGTATAAAACTTTTGTTCATGGGCGTAGTTAGGATTTGCAAGCTCTATGGAGGACTAAAAAAAAAAAATTTACACAACCAGCGACTTACTGATGTAAAATGCCAAAACCTAAACACTCTTTCGTTTGATTCTAAAAGGCCACACAGTGAGTGATTTACTGATATGATATGATGATATTGGATCTTTTTTTGAGAATAGATGAAGCATATTATTTATTGATTGACTAAAAAGAAAAAAAAGCGACGCAGGCAAAAATTTTCAAATTTTCAAGGTCTAACGGCTTTAAATGAATCTGGAAATTTTTAGTTGCATTTGCAATATTTCCAAAAAAATGATGTTCGTGAGAAGGATTTTCATTTAGATTTTATAAAAAATAGAAATATTAGTTCGGCTTGTGGACTTCTGCGAACATTAACGCACAGCATACATGTATGTTCCAGAGAAGCTTTGTGGTTACGATAGCCTCGCATGACTTTCCCAAAATTGTTAAGTCCACCCTTATTCCACACACCCGACTTTATGTGGGTTAAACACGGCATACAGAAAAGTTTTTTTTAAATAAACGCTTCCACACAACCACTTATACTCCGAATACCATTCATTCCGAAACTTCTGAACATATACATTGTCTTTTGATTTCCCTTTTTTTCCATATCGAGAGAATAATCCTTTTTGTCCTCAATCACTTGCGTATACTAAACATTGTACGGTACGAGGTTGATGTTCGCACTCAATGAAGGCAGTGTTTTTTTAGAAGGCGTTCACCGCACAACTGTTCTGTTTATTTCTGCGTATTAAACAAACAAACCCAATACATTTTCAATATAGAATTATACCTAAATTATAAAATTACACTGGCCACTGGCATACACATGCCCCCCTAGCTACGCCCATGCTTATGTTTTAAAATTGGCACTAGAGATTTTTAGTTGTAATACTTTAACAATTTCTAAGGATTTTAATCATCTCTAAAGGCTCTAGATTGACTAAGTACCGTAGCCGACTGTTTTCCAGTGTTTTCATTTAAAATATACAAAGTGAAAATATATTTCTTGCATTCAATTAAAATATATTGAAAATTCAATCTCATATTTCAAGGTTAGCAATATGGATTTTGCCCTAAAATGATGATTGATTGCGATACTTTGTCATCTTTTAGTAAAATTGTTTATCGTCGATATGTAGTACAGCTTATAAAAGCGATAGCGATCGATACGAAAACTCAAAATTACTTTATACAATTGACCTGATGGTCAATCTAAAGGGCAATAAATTGCAGAATTGTTCATTTAGTTTTCTTTGCATAGCATGGCTGATCTAATTAATTTATTACTAAAAATAGTTTTTACCTTTTTTTTTCAATTATTTTCCTTTAAAACTCCGTTTATTAGACTATTTTTACTTCTATTATTTCTACTTATTAACTCAATTAGTGTGAAGGTGATACTAATAATTATTCGATATCAATTGGAAAATTGTTTTATTATTTTAGATTGACTTGACCAATAGAACTGACAGTCGAAGCACATTAATTCCATCAGAGATGGCACCATCAACTCCATTCAGGACATTTCTTTACGGTATTCCCACAATTTTAATTACCAGCCCAAGAACGCCCAGAGATAAAACTCCTACAAATTTAAAACTTGGGTGAAAAAAAACTCGCTCAGTACAAAAACTTTAACTCTTATTTTAAATTATTTTTTTATATTTTATATTTTTACTTAACTATGTCATAAAGTGTTAGTATTATTTTTTATATTTTGACAGTTTTTGCTGTATTGTAACTTAAATTGTAAATATTTATATGAATTAGTTGTAATCTGTTAATTCTTTATTATAAATAATTATTATGTATATTTCCTTTTATTAGTTACTTATTTTGTTATTCAGATTGCAGTATTTTATGTGTATAAGGCGCGCAAAAAGGTTTTACTTAATGTATTAATATTTTCTATGTTGTGCAATAAAGAAATTGTGATAATTAATTTTTTTTTTCTATAATTAAAGTGGTGATCCTCCTTATCCATAGTATGTACACAGCATATGTAAATCAACAGATTCACTCCGTTGTCAGCACATATTATCTTCGCCATGTTTTTTTACTAAATTAAAAATTGTTTCAGGATGAACTTGTGCAGAAAATACGATTACGTATTTATTTATATTCTTAGAGAATCCGTAGAAACTTACTACTGTAAGAAATACTTGTTCATGTAAAAGCTGTACGACTTCGCAAATGCACCGTTTTCAACCATTCTGAATTTTATCTAGCACAATTTCCGAACTGAAAAATTTATAAATACGTCTCTAAATGATGTCATGTTTTCATACCCCTTGTAAAACAGTAAAATAATTAATGACGACTATTATTTTCATTTTGTAATTACCTCTGGCTGCTATGAAGGCAAAAATAGAGAGGAAATCATTTGCTTTTAATTCTATTAAATAAATAAAACACATATAAGGAGGACGTCAATTGTTAGGAAAACATGCACAAATAAAATACTATTCCATATCTGAACATATTTAAATATAAACAATGTGATGTACATTTGTTTTCCTAGAAATTTTTGAATGAACCTGGTAATATTGGAACCGGAGAAACATTACGGACGTCCCTCCTATCTGAACTTTCAAAATGGTGGCCGGGTCAATCTGTGCACCTTCTTAATTATTAATTATTATTAAATTATTTCTCATTTAGTTCTATCATTGTATAAGTNGTGATATGAATTTATTCCGTTATCCCGTCATTTCATCTCAAGAAAACTGTATTTTCAAATGGATCATTTAACTATTGAACATAAGATGGCGCAGTATCGAAAGTGTAAAATTGAACGTGAACGATTAAATATCAAGTTTACATACATATGGCTCCTCCTTGTAACGAATTCGAGAACTAAAATTTGATCAACTATTCGGCCATAAGAAATATAATACTATATTTACTTATACAATGGTTCTATTCATTCATCTAGAGACTTCTATTTCTATAATCTATATACGAAATCCAATCTCTACATAAAATTGTCCATGAATTTGAACAAATGAAGCAAGAAGAAGAAGAATAATATAAATCTATGTTTTGTGTTCTGTGGTACTATGAGGAATGAGGATGATTGTTTATGATGTTTTTTAAGGTTATCTCAAGTTTTAATTTTAATTGCCAATTCAGAATATAAAATAGATTTGTATTTTTTATATATACACATATTTAATTGTAAAAAAATATAGGATATCTGATTTATATTCTGTTGAAGTGAATAACCGGGTCTCGTAGGGTATGAACACAATTGTTTAGGTTACAATGCAAAACTAAAAAAATGCAAATTTATAAAAATGTTATTACAAAAAATCTGTTCAAGCAATATAAAATATACGATACTTGTCAAAAAGTGTACTGGAATAATTTACAGACATGTGGAATAACAACTGTAAATTTTGCACATCCTTTTTATAGTCCTTCCTGTAAAATAGGTCGTTTAATCAGCAATCAAAAAGTTTACTGTACTTCTTCAGATCAAGAGAAAAACTTTGCAAAACATAAAGAACATGTAGCCAATGAATTTAGAATATATTTTAAACAAAATAAAGACAAACTGAGAGATACGGAGCAAAGACTAAAAGAAAAAAGGCAAGCCTTAATTCAAGACATTAAGCAAACGAGAAACAAGGTGAAAGAAAAAGTTGAAGGAATTATAGAGGTAAGGACAATATTGCTTTCATTTAAGAAATACTCATTGTTATAATTTCAGAGAGAAAATATTTATACAATACCAAATTTGCTGTGTGTTGCCAGGATTATACTATCACCTTATTTGGGACTATTGATAGTGCAATCAGAATTTGACTTTGCTTTAGCTGTTTTGGGAGTTGCTGCTGTGACAGACTTGGTATGACAATATTATTGATGAAATATCATAGTTGTTATTGAGCAGATCAGAACATCATAATACTTATTTCTATAGTTAGACGGTTGGATAGCTAGAACATGGGAAAGCCAGTCATCAAATTTGGGAAGTTTTTTAGACCCAATGGCAGATAAAGTACTTATCGCATCCTTATTTTTGAGCTTAACATATGCCGATTTAATTCCGATAGCTCTAACGGGTATGATAATTGCCAGAGATGTTATATTAGTTGCAGCAGGATTTGTAATTCGGTACAAATCTCTACCACCTCCGGTAAGTACCCGTTTTGTTTGTTTTGATTACTTTCTAATTTACTGTTTTACAATTTATGCCAAGCCAAATGAGTATATGAATTTTAAGATAAAAGAATATATATGTATTACATTTAATTTTAGCTAGTGACCTTTTGAAATAGTTGTATATTTTCATGTTTTTAGCGAACTTTCAGTAGGTATTTTGATGTCAGTCATGCAACTGCGCAGCTAGCTCCGACGTTTATTAGTAAAGTTAATACTGGAGTACAGTTATTGCTGGTTGGTTCTACATTAGCAGCGCCCGTCTTCCATTATGTAGGTCATCCCGTTTTAGAATACTTATGGTAGGTACTCTGTTGGGGTAGCTCATTGAAAAATCGTCTATTTTATAAATATATTTCTTTAATTTTTTTTTTTAACGGAACATATCCACATTTGTAAAGAAATTGTAGTAAGAATAATATTTTCTATATAATGTTTAATAAACGTCAGTTTATTTTCTGAAATATCTTGAAATTAAATAATTTTACTGAAATTTTCAGGTATATAACAGGTGTGACAACAGTAGCTGCAGGCTTGAGTTACATACTATCAAAGAATACTTATAAGATATTAACTAAATCAAGCTCAAAAAAATAACTTTTTCATATTGAAAATTTGTGTAAATATTTTGACAAATTAAAAACATATATTGTTACATTGTTTTATTTTATAGAAATCACAAGTAAAATTATAAAAAATCAAGATCGTAGTAAAGTTACTGAAATTAAAAAAATATACATATATAATCTAATGTTATCGAAGGTCTCGTAAAAATCTGTATAAACTATAGTTGCTGGTCTAGTTCAGCGGTCATCAAACTTTTACGACTTGCGGAATCCCGCCAACATTTCGATTATTTTGAGGAACCCCCACACCTAAAAAAAATTGTTGAACACTGATTAATATATTTATAAATACTACAAGTAACAAAATAAATATTCCACTAAGTAGAAATTAAAGTAAGATTAAAGTTTAAAGTGAATATTTATTGAGTAAGATTAAAAAAAGAGTAAATATAATCAGACTGGGTGCTATTGTCCTAAGTTGCAATCGCATTCAAATTCTTCATTAAGCGCATTGCGATTCTTTGTTTTTGTCGCTACATACTTGGAAAATGATTTTTCGTCAGATACGTAGTTACAAAAGGCATTAATTTTATTGCCTGGTCAGCAATTTCAGGATCTTCCTTATAAATCTCGAGCCAAAAATCGAGGGAAAGGTAGACAGTCTGGTCTGCCGAGGATGAGATGAACATTACATGAGTAGTACCAGAAAAAATAACAGCCCTTTTAAGCCTTGGCAAAAGTGTGTGATATTCCCCTTCGTCATACCGTGAAGTAGAATTGTCATGCAGCCATATTTTTCGCTTTTTTCTTGCTTCCTGCAATCTTTCTTTTTCCTCACACAGCAAAGACACTATTATAACGTCCTCGTCAATGTCAACCATCTTACTCAAAAGGCACCTGGTTGAACAAAAATGTTGCATAATGTCACGTCGCAGCAGTTCAAATGCGACACCCCCTAAAATATTTTGTTGCGTCGCGTCGCTCGGCTGCAGTGCAGTTCCGCCTAGTGCGGTCTTACCTTTATAGTACCTTATATGCGTGTACTTATAAAAATAAAAAGTTTTAAGAGTATAACTTTTTTGAATATTGCAAGTATCAATAATAAAATTTTAAATTTTCGACAGAGTGGCGGTACCCCAGGGTTTCGCAGAACACAGTTTGAATACCGCTGGTCTAGTTTAAAAAAATGAAAGATCGGTCTTAATGGCTCTAAAAATACAAACTGGCATACACTATCATAATTTTTTCATCTCGATATTTTTGTATTTTGTCTAAAAGCTAAACAAAAATCAAGTTATGTATTGTTAGATTCAGGAAAAAATTATCTACAACAATCCGTTTAAATAAAATTAAGTCACCCGTCATTAAGGTTGGCAGTGGAAAAAAGATGTTCTGATTTTTTTTTTAAATCGGACAAGAAATGCAGTGTGTTCGTGCACCGTTCGAGACAAATATTAAAATAAAGTATTCTAGAATGCATTATTTTCAAGGTAACTAATAAAATAAATATTAGACCACGTCTAAGTAATTGGTGCTAAAGTGTCGAAACCCTTATTTTTGATTTAAAAAAAAAACAGTTTTTTTAAATAACCACCTTATCTACGAATGAAATAAAGTACTG